GTGAACTGCTGAATGAGCACATTGTTTAAGTGGACGAGGAGCTGTGTTTGTTTTCTCCTTCAGGGGCTTGAGGGAGGACGTTTGGATATAAAATAATTAGGTCAGTTTTTTAAATGTCAATCAAGAAGTTTGGGCTTTGTAAAGGTTTTAAGTCTCAAGCTGCATTCTTTTCTTAATATGTTAAATGTTATAACAAATTAAAATAGCGGTTTTCCAGGTAGGTATATTATTCATTTATTTTTGCAATTTAAAGCAGATTTCTGGAGTATCGTTACTCCAGTGTCACACAATCATTCAAACAGTATTTTAAAATATTATAATGTAGTGTAATCATCAGTGTAAAAAAACAGGAGGAGGTTTTATTTAAACGAATTAAATATTGAATATATCAAATAGTACACTTAATGATGATCATATAATATTTTGGAAGACTACAGGCTTGTGTAAAATTGCACATTACTGTTAAATTTAGTTTAGCAATGTGTAAAATATATTCTTTTAAAATTTTTAATGTCAATTTTATAATGTGATATACATTCAGTTCAGTGCAGGTCAGTTTCACCCACAACGTGAAAAATCATGCCCACATTTTGACTGTAATACTGGGGTTATAGTAATAAAATGATACATATTTTCCCCACAAAGTGAGAGTTTGCCATCTAGTGGCCAATGAAACTGTTACAATAACTTTAAAAAGGAACTATTTTGCTAAAATCACTTTTAAGGTCTAAACACAGTTGTATGGAAACAGTCTGTGAATATAACCAGCATCTTACGGTAAAATATTATTAAATCTATTTTTTTTTTTAACCACACTTCATAAAAACAGTCTACAGAAACACTTTGATTGACATTCTTTGCCCTTTGTACATGTGATGGAGGGGGAAAGCCCAGCCCAATAGTGACCATTTCTCCCTCATGAGCATAAGAAATTAGTCTTGTTTTTGAATCTGCCACTATGCTGACACATATAAAGCCCTAAAGCATTATTAGTGTGGTATTTTGAGCTGAGACATCACATACACACTCTAGAAACACCAGAGACTTATTTTACATCTTCTAAAAAGAGACATAACAGGTCCCCTTTAATACTAAACATAATGGATGTCATTTGTGGACCACGGTGATGCTTCAGAATTTTTTTTTTTTATTAAAAATATTATTCATGACAATATACAGTATGCATGACATAGAATGTCATTGCTTTGAAATCTTATTTGTGCATTCTTTTTAATTATTCTCATGGGAAAAAAGTTTGCTGTTCCATTCATACCAGGTGCCCAGTCCTGTTGCTGGAGATCTACCTTCCTGCAGAGTTCAGCTGCAACCTTGATCAAACATACCAAGTGCTCCTTCACATCCTACTGAGTTGCTTTATTTGTTTTTGATCAGGGTTAAAGCTAAACTCTGCAGGAATGTAATCTCCAGGTACAGGATTTATACTATGATTCCTACACCTACAGCAACTGTTTAGACTCTGTATTTCAGTCATTGGTAGGGATTTTAAATTTTGCAATAGTATTTGACAATATTGGTTGAGTAAAAAAGTAAAAATCTGATAAATATTTTCTCTTTATCTTGGTTTTCAAACCCTTCTGTGTTCTATCTTCTGTTGAACATGAACAAGGATATTTTAAAGAACACTGAAAACCTGTAACCACTGACTTTCATAGAAGAAAAGCAAATACTACTGAAGTTGAAGGGTACCAGTTTCCAGCTTTCAAAACACCGTCTTTTGTGTTACGCCCACAACCCCCTCCTATTTGGAGGACTCTAAGTATGCCCACCACCACTTCCTTCTATTTAGAGGACTCTGCCTGCCTACCTATGCCCACCAACACCTCCTCTTATTTTGAGGACTCTTATCTACATACCTATGCTGACCACCACCCCATCCTAATTAAAGGAACCTACCTACTTAAGCCCACCACCACCCCCTCCTATTTGGAAGGATCTGCCTACCTACAGTCACAACCACCTCCTCCTATTTGGAGGACTCTACCTACCTACCTTGGCCCACCACCACCTCCTCCTATTTGGAGGACTCTACCTACCTACCTATGCCCACCACCTCCTCCTCCTATCTAGAGGACTCTACCTACCTAACAACCTACCTAACTAGGCCCACCACCACCCCCTCCTATGTGGAGGACTTTTAACTATCTACCTACCTAGGCCCACCATCACCTCCTCCTATTTGGAGGACTCTACCTACCTACCTAGGCCCACCACCACCTCCTCCGATTTGGAGGACTCTACCTACCTACCTACCTAGGCCCACCACCACCCCCTCCTATTTGGAGGACTTTTAACTCTTTACCTACCACCTCCTCCAATTTGAAGGACTTTACCTACCTACCTAAGCCCACCACCACCTCCTACTATTTGGAGGACTCTACCTACCTACCTATGCCCACCACCACCTCCTCCTATCTGGAAGACTCTACCTACCTAACAACCTACCTACCTAGGCCCACCACCACCCCCTCCTATGTGGAGGACTTTTAACTATCTACCTACCTAGACCCACCACCACCGCCTCCTATTTGGAGGACTCTACCTACCTACCTACCTAGGCCCACCACCACCTCCTCCAATTTGGAGGACTTTACCTACCTACCTACCTAGGCCCACCAGCTCCTCCTATTTGGAGGACTATACCTACCTACGTATGCCCACCACCACCTCCTCCTATCTGGAGGACTCTACCTACCTAACAATCTACCTACCTAGGCCCACCACCACCCCATCCTATGTAGAGGACTTTTAACTATCTACCTACCTAGGCCCACCACCATCTCCTCCTATTTGGAGGACTCTACCTACCTACCTAGGCCCACCACCACCTCCTCCGATTTGTAGGACTCTACCTACCTACCTAGGCCCACCACCACCTCCTCCGATTTGGAGGACTTTACCTACCTAACAACCTACCTACCTAGACCCACCACCACCGCTTCCTATTTGGAGGGCTCTACCTACCTACCTACCTAGGCCCACCACCACCCCCTTAAATTTGGAGGACTTTTAACTATCTACCTACCTACCTACCTAGGCCCACCACCACCTCCTCCAATTTGGAGGACTTTACCTACCTACCTACCTAGGCCCACCACCTCCTCCTATTTGGAGGACTATACCTACCTACGTATGCCCACCACCACCCCCTCCTATTTGGAGGACTTTTAACTATCTACCTACCTAGGCCCACCACTACCTCCTCCAATTTGGAGGACTTTACCTACCTACCTATGCCCACCACCACCTCCTCCTATTTGGAGGACTCTACCTACCTACCTACCTAGGCCCACCACCACCCCCTTCAATTTGGAGGACTTTTAACTATCTATCTACCTACCTACCTAGGCCCACCACCACCTCCTCCAATTTGTAGGACTTTACATACCTACCTACCTACCTAGGCCCACCACCACCTCCTCCTGTTTGGAGGACTCTACCTACCTACCTAGGCCCACCACCACCTCCTCCTATATGGAGGACTTTACATACCTACCTACCTACCTACCTAGGCCCACCACCACCGCCTGCTATTTGGAGGACTCTACCTACCTACCTTGGCCCACCACCACCTCCTCCGATTTGGAGGACTCTACCTACCTACCTACCTAGGCCCACCACCACCCCCTCCTATGTGGAGGACTTTTAACTATCTACCTACCTAGGCCCACCACCACCGCCTCCTATTTGGAGGACTCTACCTACCTACCTTGGCCCACCACCACCTCCTCCGATTTGGAGGACTCTACCTACCTACCTACCTACCTAGGCCCACCACCACCCCCTCCTTTTTGGAGGACTTTTAACTATCTACCTACCTACCTACCTAGGCCCACCACCACCTCCTCCGATTTGGAGGACTCTACCTACCTACCTACCTGCCTAGGCCCACCACCACCTCCTCCTATTTGGAGGACTCTACCTACCTACCTATGCCCACCACCACCTCCTCCTATCTGGAGGACTCTACCTACCTAACAACCTACCTACCTAGGCCCACCACCACCCCCTCCTATATGGAGGACTTTTAATTATCTACCTACCTAGGCCCACCACCACCTCCTCCTATTTGGAGGACTCTACCTACCTACCTACCTAGGCCCACCACCACCCCCTTCAATTTGAAGGACTTTTAACTATCTACCTACCTACCTACCTAGGCCCACCACCACCTCCTCCAATTTGGAGGACTTTACATACCTACCTACCTACCTAGGCCCACCACCACCTCCTCCTATTTGGAGGACTATACCTACCTACGTATGCCCACCACCACCTCCTCCTATCTGGAGGACTCTACCTACCTAACAACCTACCTACCTAGGCCCACCACCACCCCCTCCTATATGGAGGACTTTTAACTATCTACCTACCTAGGCCCACCACCACCTCCTCCTATTTGGAGGACTCTACCTACCTACCTACCTAGGCCCACCACCACCCCCTTCAATTTGGAGGACTTTTAACTATCTACCTACCTACCTACCTAGGCCCACCACCACCTCCTCCAATTTGTAGGACTTTACATACCTACCTACCTACCTAGGCCCACCACCACCGCCTCCTATTTGGAGGACTCTACCTACCTACCTTGGCCCACCACCACCTCCTCCGATTTGGAGGACTCTACCTACCTACCTACCTACCTAGGCCCACCACCACCCCCTCCTCTTTGGAGGACTTTTAACTATCTACCTACCTTCCTACCTATGCCCACCACCACCTCCTCCAAATATGAGGACTTTACCTACCTACCTTGGCCCACCACCACCTCCTCCGATTTGGAGGACTCTACCTACCTACCTACCTAGGCCCACCACCACCCCCTCCTATTTGGAGGACTTTTAACTATCTACCTACCTACCTACCTAGGCCCACCACCACCTCCTCCAATTTGGAGGACTTTACATACCTACCTACCTACCTAGGCCCACCACCACCTCCTCCTATTTGGAGGACTCTACCTACCTACCTATGCCCACCACCTCCTCCTCCTATCTGGAGGACTCTACCTACCTAACAACCTACCTACCTAGGCCCACCACCACCCCCTCCTATATGGAGGACTTTTAACTATCTACCTACCTAGGCCCACCACCACCGCCTCCTATTTGGAGGACTCTACCTACCTACCTTGGCCCACCACCACCTCCTCTGATTTGGAGGACTCTACCTACCTACCTACCTAGGCCCACCACACCCCCTCCTATGTGGAGGACTTTTAACCATCTACCTACCTAGGCCCACCACCACCGCCTCCTATTTGGAGGACTCTACCTACCTACCTTGGCCCACCACCACCTCCTCCGATTTGGAGGACTCTACCTACCTACCTACCTAGGCCCACCACCACCCCCTCCCTTTTGGAGGACTTTTAACTACCTACCTACCTTCCTACCTATGCCCACCACCACCTCCTCCAATTATGAGGACTTTACCTACCTACCTTGGCCCACCACCACCTCCTCCGATTTGGAGGACTCTACCTACCTACCTACCTAGGCCCACCACCACCCCCTCCTATTTGGAGGACTTTTAACTATCTACCTACCTACCTACCTAGGCCCACCTTCACCTCCACCTCCTCCAATTTGGAGGACTCTACCTACCTACCTACCTAGGCCCACCACCACCCCCTCCTATTTGGAGGACTTTTAACTATCTACCTACCTACCTACCTAGGCCCACCTTCACCTCCACCTCCTCCAATTTGGAGGACTTTACATACCTACCTACCTACCTAGGCCCACCACCACCTCCTCCTATTTGGAGGACTCTACTTACCTACCTAGGCCCACCACCACCCCCTCCTATATGGAGGACTTTTAACTATCTACCTACCTAGGCCCACCACCATCGCCTCCTATTTGGAGGACTCTACCTACCTACCTTGGCCCACCACCACCTCCTCCGATTTGGAGGACTTTACCTACCTACCTACCTAGGCCCACCACCACCTCCTCCTATTTGGAGGACTCTACCTACCTACCTAGGCCCACCACCACCTCCTCCAATTTGGAGGACTTTACCTACCTACCTACCTACCTACCTAGGCCCACCACCACCTCCTCCTATTTGGAGGACTCTACCTACCTACCTACCTAGGCCCACCACCACCCCCTCCTATTTGGAGGACTTTTAACTATCTACCTACCTACCTACCTAGGCCCACCTCCTCCAATTTGGAGGACTTTACATACCTACCTACCTACCTAGGCCCACCACCACCTCCTCCTTTTTGGAGGACTCAACCTACCTACCTACCTATGCCCACCACCACCTCCTCCTCTTTGGAGGACTCTACCTACCTAACAACCTACCTTCCTAGGCTCACTACCACCCTTTCCTATGTGGAGGACTTTTAACTATCTACCTACCTATCCCCACCACCACCTCATCCTATTTGGAGGACTCTTCCTACCTACCTATGTCCACCACCTCCTCCTCCTTTTTGGAGGACTTTACCTACCTACCTACCTACCTAGGCCCACCACCACCTCCTCCTATTTGGAGGACTCTACCTACCTACCTTATCCCACCACTCCACAAATGATACAAATTCGTGACAATATAACAATTGAACAAAAACAGAAATAATACACAATTATGACAAATCAGTATATACAACTAACAAAAATAAAAAAAATATGCAAAACAAGCATTTAACAAAAACAGGCCTACACAAAAATGCCAAACAATAAATATACATATCGTATGCAAATACAGCAAAGAAAGTTAACATAAAACAAATGATACACAATCTTGACAAATCAAAAAATTTAACAATCAGTGAGCAAAAATCCATTGGGACATGCCCGGAACACCTCCCTTGGTAGGCAATTAGGAGGCATCCGAATCAGATGCCCAAGCCACCTCAGCTGACTTCTCTCGATGTGGAGGAGCAGCGGCTCTACTCAGAGCTCCTGCCGGGTGTCAGAGCTCCTCACCCTATCCAAAAGAGTGTGCCCTGCCACCTTTCGAAGGAAACTCATTTCGGCTGCTTATATCCGAGATCTTGTCCTTTCGGTCATGACCCAAAGCTCACGACCGAAATAGGCCAGAGTAGGAACGTAGATTGACCAGTAAATCGAGAGCTTTGCCTTTCGGCTCAGGTCCTTCTTCACCGCAACGGACCAGTACATCGACCGCATTACTGCTGCCGCTGCACTAATCCGCCTGTCAATCTCACGTTCCATCTTTCCCTCACTAGTGAACAAAACCCCGAGATACTTCAACTCCTCCACCTGGGGTAAGGACTTTCCTCCAACTGGAGAAGGCAAACCACCTCTTTCCGGTGGAGCAACATGGCCTCGAACTTGTAGGTGCTGATTCCCATCCCAGCCGCATCACACTCGGCAGCAAACCACCTCAGTGCTTGCTGAAGGTCCATGTTCGATGAAGCCAACAGAACTACGAATAACAGAAATGAAATCCTGTGGTCCCTGAACCGGACCCCCTCCAGCCAAAGGCTGCGCCTTGAAATTCCGTCCGTAAAAATGATGAATAGAATTTGTTACAAGGGGCAGCCCTGCCGGAGTCCAACATGCACTGGAAACAAGTCTGACTTATTGCCGGCAATGCGAACCAGACTCCCACTCTGTTCATACAGGGACGAGACGGCCCTCAACAGATCGCCTCTGACCCCATACTCCCCGAGCACCCTTCACAGAATGCCACGAGGGACACGAATGAATGCCTTCTCCAAGTCCACAAAACACATGTGGACTGGTTGGACATACTCCCGTGAACCCTCGAGCACCCTGGTGAGGGTATAGAGCTGGTCCAGTGTACCACAGTCCGGACGAAAACCGCATTGTTCCTCCTGGATCCTAGGTTCAACCATTGGCCGGATCCTCCTCTTCAGTACCTTGGCATAGACTTTCCCCGGGAGGCTGAGGAGTGTGATCCCCCTATAGTTGGAGCACACCTTCCGGTCCCCCTTCTTAAAAATGGGACAATACATATCTATCTTTAAAATTAACAATAATATCTATACAAAAATATACAATTCAGGTACAAATTTAAAGCAAAGCAAGTTAACAAAAACATAATTGATACGAAACAATAATTATGACAATCGGATAATATAACAATTTAACAAGTTAAAAAAGTACAAATCCATATTGAGTATTTAACAATATTTTCAAAAATACAAGAACATGGATGACCAAGTTAACAAAAACACAAATAACTCAATATGGAAAAATATAACAATTAACAACCAAAAATAAAAATAAATACAAATGAATAATTTACAATAACATATCAATGTAAGAATACAAAAACATAAGTATGCAAATCACATGCAAATACAGCAAAGCAAGTTAACAAAAAGGAAATGATACAGAAAAGCAATCATGACAATCAGACAATTTAAGCAATTTAACCATTACATTTTTTTACAAATGCATATTTAACAATATCTATACAAGAACAAACATGCATATCACATGATCACACTTCAAAGCAAGTTAACAGTAAACAAATAATACACACTCATGACAAATCGAAAAATATAACAATTAGTGAGCAAAAATAAAACAAATTAAGTATTTAACAATAATACATTCATTCATCTTCTGCTGCTTTTCAGTGGCCGGGTCGCGGGGCAGCAGTCTTAGGAGAGAACCCCGGACTTCCCTCTCCCCAGACACTTCCTCCAGCTCCTCCGGGGGCATCCCGAGGCATTCCCAGGCCAGCCGAGAGACATAGTCCCTCCAGCGTGAGAAACTGCTACTATGACGTGCACAAATGACTAACTGTTTTGAGAAATGCATTACCTGTTGTGCAAATGTAAGTAGTGTTGTGAGAAATGCACCAAAGCCACTGAGAAAAACTGTAATAATAATGAATGTTAACAAAAAAGTGCAAGGTAAAAAGTAACAGAGGCTGCGATATCTGCTACCAGATCTATTTTCAATTGTCAGACACACACATGAAAATAAATTATAGTAATTTAGTAAATACTGTAGTGTTTTCAACAACACTGACACTAACAGCTCCGATAGAGATTGAGATGTTGCACACTCAGCTAAAATGTTGCTAGAATCAGTTTTTAGGTATGGCCAATACATTTATTGCGTCATCAAAAATGATTGAGGTCATGTCCATGTGTTGTGAGATAAGTCGATATATTGATTATTGTGACAGGCCTAATTGTATATTAATTTTTGAGTGAACTATCTCTTTAAGTCTTGTCTGTGAAACCGGCTGATTTTTGTTTTCAGTTAGATAATTATTACTCATGTATTTTTCTCCGTCTTACCTTTGCTGTGCTTCAAGTGGTCCGCAGCAGGTGATCCAGCTGATAGTCGCACATTTCATTCATTTTTTAAAAAGTGACAACTTGTGACAAGCTACTTTTAATATTCAGTCTGGAACCGCATGCAGGTATGACTTCAAAACAACATGAGCACCATTTAATGGACTGAACAATGTTGTACTTTGATAGTCATTGGCTGCTAATATGATTTTACTATTTAAAATTTAGAAAACTTTTCTGAAGTGACATTATCAAGAAGAAAATCTAAATGTGTGAATACAAAACCAACCATTTTGAGGGATATAAACAATAACAATGGTACTAATGTTTCCTGCTTTACATTTTCAACTTCTAAGAATACAAAAATGTTGATAATTAATTCTATGATAGCTGTTTTAACGTAAAGATATAATTCAATTGCTTCTTGTTACAGTTATGTAACATAATGATAACAAGCCGGATTTGTTCATCACCACATTGAAATAGTCTAAATACCTCAAAATCCTTGTAAGAGTGTGCTTTCATCTACAGTAAAACCACTATAAAGACAACAATAGAAAAACATAAAGACATACAAAGAGTACAGATGTAAACGCTGTATAAATGTTTTCTTCTAAAGGGAGGATTTTTTCTCAGACTCCAGTGTGTAGGTACAGAAATTTCACTTTCATGGTGATTAAATTATTAAATTAAATTATTTTCATTCCATAACTAAACATAAACAGGAGGCTGAGGAAAAACTGATAATTTTAGAAGAAAATGTTAAACAGCACATGGAGGCTTTAGCATCTGTATTCTTTAAATATTCACAAATAACATCATATACACGTTGCATATATTTTATAGGTCATTTTCTATATATGAGCAATACCAGCGTTATGAATGTAATAATTACAGTAAAAACTGAAAACATAATTCACAAAGAAAGTATGTGTTAAATTATATTGAAACATGTTCATATTTTCCTGAGCAATTAACCACAGGGTTATGGGATCAGAAAAAATATCAATCTATAAACTTTTTTATACGTTAAATGAGCATCCATTATGGATGTGACCAAAAATGTCAGCAAGTTAACAGTATACAACACACTTTGTAGAAATTCTGGATTTTGTGGAAATTTTGGATGTGAACTTGTCACTTGTATGACTTTGGTAAATCAAATATAATTGTTTGAAAACACAGACAGACATTTTTGAGCATTTTTACAATACTATAAAATACAAGCCTACTCAAAAAACCCTGAAAGGGTTTCGCTATTTTAGTAAAAATTAATTTTTTTCACAGCAAGGTTGACATTTGCTAGGAATTGCTCATATCAAACTAAAATCTAAATAATGCAAATTAAGAAAAACAATAAACTATTTATCTATCTATCTATCTATCTATCTATCTATCTATCTATCTATCTTGCAATTGGAAATATAAATGTCAAAATTAAGTGAGTTTCTTCCTTAAAACAAGCTAAACAGTTTGCTATTGGCAGATTATTTTGCTTGTTTTAGTGAAAAGCTCACATAAACTATATATATATATATATATATATATATATATATATATATATATATATATATATATATATATATATATATATATATATATATATATATATATATATATTATTTCTAAAAACAAGACAATTTTTGCTTATTTAAAAAATGTTTCTTAATTTAACAATATTTTAAAGATATTTGGACTAGAAACATGACATTAACTCAAAAAAAGAGCATTTCTTGCAGTCTATCTAGGAGACATACGTGACCGTTAACAAGTTTCAACCACAACTAATAACAAAATGTCAAAATATTAATAAAATATAAAACAATATTTAGCAATCAGTCTTTCTGACAATATATAGCAAATGGTGTACTTGCAAGCAGCTGCGACGGCCGATCCTCAGAGGGAGTCTGCTTCCACTGCAGTCAAAATACTGAAGACGAAGACAGGAAATAAGCGAGTAACGAATATGCTTTAAAGAAATATTAAAATTAAGTAAATAATTAACAAAAAAATGCAAATTAACACACTAAAAATGCTGCAACCGTCTTGACTTTAGCCGAGAGTATGACGCTTTGCGATTCGAACGTGTTCTATTTCGAACGTCAAAATTCTTGGAATGCGTGACGTCAAACAACGGTTCTGCGCTCTTAAAGTGACCAAGTTAATTACAATTTGCGAACTCATTAACTTTTTGTTTTCTGTTATGTGGTCGTGTTAATAGCTTAAACAATTATGTGCTTGTAAATAGCATTCGCGGTGTAATGAATGTGAAATTAAATTAAAAAGTGGATCACACAGCAAGTTGCACTAAAGCAAATGTCTCCTCTTTGTAGAAAGCCATAGAGAATACACATAAGTAACAGAAATAAACAAATAACATATGCAAATAATAAACACTGTCAGCGACAAATACAATTTGAGTATAAATATTTTAGTTACAGAATTTAGAAAACTGTATAAGAACCACACAGCGAAATATTTTTTTCAGAAGTATGCAGAAGGACTAATTATTTGTCAGGTAACGTTATCTGTCAAGCGCTTCTGGTCAACTGTATGCCAGGTCTGTTTTCTTTAAAAATAACCACTGTCTGATTGCTATGCGATAGAAAGTTCGTCTCAGATTGTACAAGAAGCACTGCATTAAATCATATTTTCAGCGTCATGTCTTTAAAATATAAATATTTATTTTACTCCTGCAGAAATACTTGGTATTTCGGCGCCAGCCCGCTAATCATGGTGGGCGCGTGCGTGTAAAGGCTTTTGTCTCGTTTTACGCTTGAACAACTAAAAGAACGCTGAAGTCTGTTTAACTGATTATATTTTAATGACATTTCAACATCGATGCTGTAAAAGAAGCCTTATGAAGTTGAAAAAGACACATTAGGTCTTCACCTGAGGTTAATCATTATAGTCTATACAGAAAACAGGACATCGTAGCTCAGCATCTTCAAAAACTACACTTAATTCATGTATAAGCTAACTTCACAAGAAAAATGCATACATTTATTGAATAATATTTGTATAATATTTGTCCTTGTCTTGTTTAAAAAAATTAGGACAACCAAATAAGGTATATTTATATAATAAAGACTGAATAGCAAGAGTAAAATTTAAAATAGCACGTTTAAAATACAAATATCCTTCCAGAATATATTAGTATATATCGTAGACTGTGGTAAATATACACAAAGCGATTTCTCGTGTCAGCAGTAGGGGGAGCTGGAGAGACGTCACGGCAGGAGAACAACAGAGGAGAGGTAACGTTACATTTTCTCTCCAGATATCCATAAACAAAGACATCAGTTTAATCTGACTCCTCCAACATTGCTTTTCAGTGTCTTTAAGGAAATACAGGTTTAGAAATAAAACTTCAAAATCAAGAAAAATTAAAACACCAGAAGACGGGCTTTATTCAGCAGGTGTCTTGATATCGTGAGTCATTTTTCCTTTCTCATTGTTTATTATTTAACTTAAACAATAATAAATAATTATTTAAGGTTAATACTGCAGTGTTTGAGGTGATTAAAATGCTGCTAATGTTTAAAATAGCACATACAATTTTCAGCTAAAAAGCCTAAACTTTGAAGATTAGCAAGAAAGTTTATATGGGTGGAAAATACATTTATTCCCTTCACCAAAGTCCCAATATCGGCTATTTATATGAACAGGAATCATCATAACAGCATGTAAAGTGTCCACGGTTAAATTAACCGTTGGTGAACATATAATAGTGTTTGTTTTGATGATGTGATAAAATAAAATATTGATAAATCAGTGTGTAAAATCGAAACAGTTATTGTGGTCTGATTTAATAAGATTAATAAAATAAGAGGTCTTCATATTAAACTGTACTTTAAAAAACTTAATAGTTTGAATAAATACTGGCAAAGTTTAAAGATTTAAAATGTCTGAAACCGTTGTTTATTTGCTGACTAAACTATTAATAAACTGAATGTCCATCATTTCAAAATGTAATTTAGTCATATTTATTTGCTCTGGGGAAAACAACTAAACGTAAACAAAATATAAAGCTGTTTTGTGGTTTCTGATAAGTGTTATTCAGTATATTGACAAAATTTGCACTAATTATGTGACATTTCAAGCAGCTCCATACTTTTTAGAAAAAATGCCAAGTAATTTTTAAAATGTGTACTTTTACTTTCCCTTGAGTTCATTTTTAGTGCAGTATCTGTACTTTTACTCCACTATTTTCCTTCAACCTGCAGTCACTACTTCATTATTTCTTGTCTATGGGGAATAGATAAATCAGTCCTGTGATTCCCGTCACACATATGGAGTAAATCGCATCATAATGTATTACCTCAAGATATATGCGCTTTACCATTGCAGGAAACTGTTTGGAAGCATTAATAACTAATTAATATTCGTCAATGTCAAATCTAAAATCAACCTCTGGTGATGTTACAGCTTGACGTTGTGTGGACGTTACCACTGACGTCTATCAGGCGTTGGATTTTGATTGTCATACTTGACGAATAAATGTCAGTATTTGAGGTCAATATGACTTTGGTTTAAGATGTTGGCTAATTTTAACGTCGTATGATGTTGTGTGCCTGCTGGGCAATAACTAAATGTAAATGCATCTGCTTTTCACATTGTAATACTCACTAAAGTACTTTTGCAAGCTCTACTTTTTACTCAAACTCTGAGTTATGTTTACAACAGATACATTTTCTCTAATATTTTTAGGCAAGCAATGGTACTTTTACTTAAATATGATTTTTCAATACTCTTTCCACAACTGCTCATATCACAGCTTGTCAAGAATCACTGGCTATGACAGCCAAAGTGATGCATATCATAGAGGTGAGACACTTATATTCAAGCAAGCATTTAATTGGACAGATAATCTGCTAAATATTTCTTCTAAATGAATATTTTGCCATTGTTTAGTAGCACACTAGCATTCAAATAACCTTAAAACTAACATTCCTATTATAAATGATAAGAAAATTGACCGATTGATCTCATGGACACTTAAAAAAAGACCTAAGGAATACTTTTGAATACATTGTCTGAGGACTCTTATTATTTGTTGCTGGACTAATGCTGTTTTTGTGTCTCTTTTGAAAATACTCACCTTAATCTACGTGCACAAATAAGTGGGTTAATATAAACATTGACAGTGATTTTCTACGAAAGAATACCTCTGTGATAGTATTGCTTTAAAATGCGAAGAAAAACCTCTTACATGTCAAAAGATCACGGAATATATGAACACCCTCTGATATGTGCAACAGGTAAATCCAAAGCACATCATCTGGTCAGAGGGATTCTTCAGGTTCAGTCCTTGGTCCCCTCTTCTTTTTTATTTACACCTAACGGTTGCTCCTACCATGATGATTCTGATGACATATGATTTGTATTTTTACTTACTAGATGAGCTGATGGTAGCTGCACAGATCTCAGACTGCCTGAAGCACATCTCAGCATTGACGAATCCTGCCAAAGACTGAGCTCCTCATCTTCCCTGAAGTTTCCAGTGTTCTTCAAAAGCATAAATGTGTTCAACAGAAGAAAGTCAAACTGGATTGGAATAAGTGGAGGGTGAGATTTCTTTTTTTTTTTTTTTTTTGGTTGGGGGGGGGGCGAACAATGCATTTAATAGGTTTAACAAAGGTAGAATATCTTTGCTGTTTGCACATACGACATGACAGATGGAGTGGTGGAAACATTTGTTCTGAATAAATATACCACACATGTAAACAAACATTTTATCTGAAGTTGGAGTAAATATTAAAAGTATAGCCTGCTTTCTGAAACTAATTTAAGAACCAAGCAATCATATCAAACACTTTTCTTAACTTCTGAAAACATGTATTAGAGTTGCATTTGTGTTTCTTGTGATCTGTCCAGGAGATGTCAGCATTGCTTACTTTTTTAGATGGATATGTAAAGATCAAACTGTTTTGGGGACTCTCAAATTGGGTTTGAGATCAAATATTTTACTTGAAGATCCATCTGTTCATTTATTTTTAAATGGATATCAATTATCTGATTATTATTGTTACACACTGTTGCAGTAATTGATTATTTCAGAGTGATGGCAAGCTTTTTTAGCCCAAAATATTCCCATGTTTAGGTGTTGTATATGCACTGTTGCTAGTAGCTTTATAATAGTAATCTATTCTGTCAGAAATTGACTTTAGTATTGGATCATTTCAGCATTTTAACATTTTTGCTAATTATTTTTTTGCAACACACACTAAAATGATATAATCAAAAAAGTCATGGCAACCAATAGTTTTATGTAACTTTGATATAATAATTAATAAGTCATTTTAACTTTAAGGCAGCAACATTTTGAAAGTGTACTTTATAGTACAAACTCCACATTAATTAGAAATATTAACTGTAAACTAGGAATGCAAAGTATGCAAAAGTCAGATCTGCATTTCCAGAAATATACTCCTTTATTTGATAAAATACACTCTTATCCCACATATATTATACTATATAGCAAGCCATAGTAGGCTAAAATATTAAATGTGTCATTTTAATGGCATTTTCACTAGTACAAACTGATTTAGAGTTATCTATTTTTTACAAAAACAACACAGTAACTGATAATTTTAACATATTTTTATTTTTGACATTTTAATGTAATATTTAAAGTGAAATATGAGCTTAGATTGCAATTTACTTACTAAAATATACCCCTCTCAATGACAAACATCCCAAACTAATCAGAGTGGATTATTTTAAATAATAAAAAATATGAAATGACGAACTGCTGTATTTTATATTAAAGTAAAACAGATAACTAAAATGTAATTCTTACTAGTAAAATCCAACTAATGTTGGGAACATTTTAAGCCTGAATGGTTTGCCCTATAGCATAATATATGTGAGATGAATAGGAGAGACTGTAGTGTGTCTAGCTTGCTGATAGGGTTTGTGTAAACAACTTAAAAAGAGCCGTAAATATGAGATGAAGTCAAATATATGGTTCATTTGGAAACATGAATCTGTGCCAGCCTTCCACCATGCTCATGATACCACTTAATGGTACATTTAAAACAAAGTCTTATAAATATTTATGCATAGGAGCTATACGTATTTTAACCACATATTAAAGTTTGAATTCTATCTAAGCATGACTATAGTTGGTTTAAACAAACGAGACGAGCAGATTCCAGGTCTGTTTTCAGAGCCTTATTGGGACTGCAGTGATTCCTGCATGCTTCCACAGTGAGTTAATGAAACTGGAGCATCTTTGAAAGGATCCCTATTATGCAAAAAACACTTTTATAAGGGGTTTAGGCACAGTTATGTGGCAACAGTATGTGAATATAGCCAGCACCTAATGGTAAAATGAATTCATTCTATTTTTTATAATCAGATTTGATTAAAACAGACAGCAGAAATGCTTTAATTGGCATTCTCCATTCGTACGTGTCATCAGACGGTGAAAGCCCCACTCATTTGTCAGGATCTCTCCCTCATTAGCATAAACAGCCCTGACTGAAAAGCAGCCGTCTGCCAATAGAATTTTAAAACGACATAATTTGGATCAAAGCCTAAAACGGTCAGTTTCAAAGTGTTATAAAGTTGTGGTGTATTTTGAGCTGAAACTTCACATACGCACTCTGGGTACACCAAAGATTTGACCCAGTCGTCGTGACCCAGTTATTCCTCTCAGCTGATTTGAGCGCAGCTGTTAAACATACCAGAGTCAGACATGGAAACCACTGCGTCCACAGCTGCACTGGCCTTTCATGATCCAGCAAATATATAACTGGTTTAAAATATATCACACATGGAGCTTTCCGTGTTTTTTGTATTACTTTTTTAGCCTTGTTAGCAAGTTAGCAGGTTCTGGGAAAAAAAATATGAAGCAGTATTTCTGTGTGGAGTTTGCATGTTCTTCCCGTGTTGGCGTGGGTTTGCTCTGTGTGCTCCGGTTTCCCCCACAGTCCAAACACCTGCGCTGTAGGTGAGTAGAATAAGCTAAATTGGTTGTAGTGTATGTGTGTAAATACAAGAGTGTAGGGGTGTTTCCCAGTGTTCGGTTTTGGCTGGAAGGGCATCCGCTGCGTAAAACACATGCTGGATAAGTTGGTGGTTCATTCCACTGTGGCGACCCCTGATTAATACAGGGACTCAACCAAAAAGAAAATGAATGAATGAATAATGTGGAGCGATGTACCCCATCCACCACAACACATCAGTTTAAAAGTGATTCCTGCTACAGAATGACCAGTCCAGCTGAAGGTCTTTGTTTTTGTTGAATGGTTGTGTTGAGGCTGGATTCCGCTATTGTCCTCTATTGGAGATCAGCTGGATCAGCAGCTCTTCACAATAATAGGAGCAGGATTTGTGTCTAGAGCCTCAACAAGAGCCTGTGCTTTACAGAACACAAGCGGATATCAACAAAACGTGTTTTTCAGAGCGATCAGCTCTAAACTGTGCTGTCCAGGCAAACACTTGGTCAGATCTCTCAGACTTTAGAAGGAATAAAACTGCAAATATTTTGTTAAAAGCTCAGACAAACTATCAAGCTTTGGACAATAAATGACTTGCCTGAGTTGAATCTAATGCTATGTGAGATTGTTGTCCAGCTGTTCAAATGACACATTTCCACAGAGAGACAGTTATTGAGCAATTTTAATAGTCTTGAAAAATTCATTCATGTTTATTCTGTGATTTAACTAGTAGTATAAAGGAGGGAATGAGGATATTGACTTGCCACATTATTTATTGTTTGCATTTGCTGAAGAATTGGACAGCATGATATGCACAGGGACTTCTAATTTTGAATAAGCCAGCTCAGGTGCTTCCTGTGAACTGTCATGTCATTATAAACTCACCACGTTTAAGATTTGATTTGTTTAAAATCAATAATCTTCACTAACTGATTAACTGATACGATATAAAGTGGGTCTCACACAGGACAAACAGCACTGCATTAAATGACATTGTTCTGAACCATGTCATTAAAATATAAAAGAAGTTAATTTACCACTGTAGTTTCTGTGGTGGCCTGCTGCTTTCGACAGTGCTTGCGTTTAAACAGCCTTTCATCTCGTTTTACGCTTGACAACTAAATGAATGCTTAAGTTTTTGTAACTGATTATTCATTCATTAATACATTTTCCTTCGGCTTAGTCTTTTATTTATCACGAGTCACCACAGCGGAATGAACCGCAACCTATTCTGGCATATGTCTTATGCAGCGGATGCCCTTCCAGCCTCTATTCCCATTACTGGGAAACACCCATACACTTTGGCATTGACTATGGACAATTTTGATTACCAAATTCACCTTTACCCACACCAACACAGGGAGAACATGCAAGCTCCACACAGAAATGGCAACTGCCCCAGCTGGACTCGAACCAGCGACCTTCTTGCTGTTAAGTGACAATGCTAACCACTGAGCCACCGTGCTGCGCTTAGCTGATTATACTTTAATTAAAATACATTACCGATGCTGTAAAAGGAACCCAATGACATTTTAAAAAATAGTGACATCAACCTTTTACTGGAAGTTTATCGGTGGCTGAAAAACATTTGCTGTGCATATACTGTAGCCCATTGAAGAGGGTGTGTGCTTTAAAAGAACTAATAAAGGTTTAGACATGCATCAGCTGAAACGGCATCAACTAAAATGTATGCATAAATGCATTTAGAAAGCGCTTTTAATGTGCATTAAAATGTGTCTTACACTTAATAGCAGAGTGCATGTTTACTATAAACAATATGAGGTCACTTTATTTTGATGGTCCGTTTGTTGAATCTACATGCCAACTAATTCTCATTAGATTATAAGTAGACTGTTAGGTTGGGGTTAGGGTTATTGTTAACATGTACTTGCAAGTTTCTTATAGTCAGTTAAATGTCTGTTGAAGGAGCAGTATGAACAGATATTAAGCAGACAGTCTACTAATACTCAAATAGACCATCAAAATAAAGTGGTACCCAATACGATGCTTGCTTGCAATACGTCACATTGGACTAGGTAAAGTTAGCATTTCCCCAGATTCTACTGCACCATTAAAGGGAACCTATTATATGCCCCTTTTTGCAAGATGTAAAACAAGTCTCTCATGTCCCTAGAATGTGTATGTGGAGTTTGAGCTCAAAATACCACACAGATACTGTTTTAAAATCTCTGAAATTGACCCTTTTTTATGCTTTGATCATAATTGTGGTGTTTTGGCGACTGTCGCTTTAAAAACCAAATGAGATTGTGCTCTTTTCAAAAGAGGGCGGAGCTACAAATGCTTGCGTGTCAGCATAGCGGCAGATTTAAAAACAAGACTAACATCCTATGCTAAAGAGGGAGAGATGGTCACTAGCAGGCGGGGCTTTCCTACTGTGATGACACACACAAAGGGAGGATGTCAATCAAAGTGTTTCTGCAGTTTTTATTGAGTCTGATTATAAGCAATGGATTGATTAAATGTTGCCACACAACTGTGTTTAAACCCCTTATCAAAGTCATGCATAATAGCTCCCCTTTCAGTTATAATACTCAATAATATACTCTGTACACAGTACAAACATCTACTGTATGGTCCTCAGAAAGCATTTATTGCAAACAAGCTTTGTTTACAAGGACTTCACAAAAAAGTAAAATACAAAACTTATAAAACACTCACAGCACTAAAAAAAACTGTTGTTCACTCATTCACTTCTTCCTCATCATCATCATCAAATGCTTCCTCGCCAATACTGCATGTGGCCTCCTGGTACTGCTGATACTCTGACACCAGGTCATTCATATTGCTCTCTGCCTCGGTGAACTCCATCTCATCCATTCCTTCTCCAGTGAACCAATGCAGGAAGGCCTTGCGCTTGAACATAGCCGAAAATTGCTCAGAAATGCGCTTAAAGAGTTCCTGGATGGCGGTGCTGTTGCCGATAAAAGTGGAGGCCATTTTAAGTCCCCTTGGTGGAATGTCACACACTGCAACTTTGACGTTGTTGGGGATCCACTCCACAAAATAGCTGCTGTTTTTGTTCTGAATGGCCAGCATTTGCTCGTCGACTTCTTTCATTGACATTGGCCCGCGGAATACAGTGGCGACAGTAAGGTAACGACCTAACCGTGGGTCACAGGCGGCCATCATGTTCCTGGCATCAAACATCTGCTGGGTGAGTTCAGGCACGGTGAGGGCGCGATACTGCTGGCTTCCTCTTGCGGTCAGTGGAGCGAAGCCGGGCATGAAGAAGTGGAGGCGAGGGAACGGCACCATGTTGACCGCTAATTTGCGCAGATCTGCGTTCAGCTGGCCGGGGAACCGCAGCGAAGTGGTGACGCCGCTCATCGTTGCAGACACCAAATGATTGAGATCTCCATATGTGGGTGTGGTCAGCTTGAGCGTGCGGAAGCAGATGTCATAAAGTGCCTCGTTATCAATACAGTACGTTTCATCAGTGTTTTCCACGAGTTGATGCACAGAGAGCGTGGCGTTGTACGGCTCCACCACCGTATCAGACACTTTCGGTGAAGGCATGACGCTGAACGTGTTCATGATGCGGTCCGGGTATTCCTCTCGGATCTTGCTGATTAGAAGCGTTCCCATTCCTGATCCGGTTCCTCCGCCGAGGGAGTGTGTGAGCTGGAAGCCTTGCAGACAGTCGCAATACTCGCACTCTTTTCTGACGATATCCAGCACTGAGTCCACCAGCTCGGCTCCTTCAGTGTAGTGGCCCTTGGCCCAGTTGTTGCCTGCACCTGTCTGTCCTGCAAAAGCAATACAATGAGGATTAGTTTGCGATGAACATGAAATACAATCTTCTTAACTGCTCTCCAGAGTGAACCGTGCAGCAATTGTGCAGCATTCATCACAGCCTCTGACATACTGCATGCCCATTTATGTTCATTCTTGGGATGCATTCCAGCCAGTTTGTTTGAGGGAAAGATTATCTGGGTGATTCTTGTACTTGAACTGGTGCTCTAACATCGTTCTTTGGATATTTGTAGTGTCGGTGACTGGGCAAAAGCAGCATGTGACCTGTTTACATAAAGATCTTATACACATTGTTGTACTAGCCAATCATAAAGTAGCAACTCAATGCATTTAGGCATGTAGACATGCTCAAGATGATCTGCTGAAGGTCAAAACGTGCATGGAGAAGAAATGTCATTTTAGTGACTCTGAACATGTCATGGTTGTTGGTGCCAAACGGGCTGATCTGAGTCTTTCAGAAATCGCTGTAATTTCATGCACAACCATCTCAGGGGTTTAAAGTACAAATGTAATCAAAACTAACCGTATTTGGTAACTTACATCGCTAGTTTTATGGTGAACAATTCATCATGCATATCATTCAGAAAATAAAGTTTGCCCTTGTAATCTTAGATTAAAGTTTTCGGTAAAATTTAGTTTTCAGTTAAATTGTCAGATTAGGTCTGTCTGAGGTACTAGAGAAAATGCCTTAATGTCAGGGGAGAAAAGACTTTCATTACAACCGAGGTCTACAGAAATGTCCAGATCCGATTACGCGATCGCAAATCGGGCCCGATCACGTGGTTTTAGACTTGATCGGAATAGGACGTTACCTCCCGATTAGGACTCAAATATGTAAATATATATATATTCTCATTATTTTTTAACATATAGTTATGTGTTGGCACAGAGTTGGACCTCTTTCTTGACTTCAAACAGAAACAGCAATGCGTGCGGCATGATATCACTTTGTTGCAGAGACGCTTTTGATTAAATGTCGGCAGAGTAGAACACGGAAGCAGCTTGAAGCGGAAAGTGCGAGGATGTCTGCTGTCTGGAGGTATTATAAAGTTGATGACGACAACATTGCCATAGCAAACTGTGAGATACGTAAACTTGGGATTGCAAGAAATGTAGAATTGATGTTGTTTATTACTTAATTGTACAAGCTACTTCACAGGAGTGCTCTGTTTGTTAACAGAGTTGTTGAACGTTAAAAGAAGGTGAATTAGATAAAACCTAAGGAACATCCTGGATCTGTTTTTTCACTCTTCTTTATTTATTAATTTTTTATGTATTATAGAAGTAACGGATGGTGTGTCGGTATCGGTAGATACTCAAAATCAAATGACTCCAACTCGAGGGCAGAAAAACCTAATCGGCACATCCCTAAAAGAAATGCTGTCAGCTCAGAACAGTAAACTGAGGCTACAACTCACATGGGCTCAGCAAAGCTGGACTAAACAATAGAAGATTGGAAAAAGATCTGAATAAAAACCCTATCAAATAAAATGCGTTGAACCGTCCTATTAACGACACTTGAATCAGAGAAGGTCGATGTGTTGATACAATACCAAAGATGAAGTTGTCGGGTCGGAAAAGCTGCCCAAACGCTCCAGAACGAACACTGTCCATTGTGCCAGGCTCCAGGTCCACAAGGATGGCTCTGGGAACGTACTTGTGAGCTACACAAAAACATTTTATTTTTCACTGTAAGTTTAATTTACTATAAAAATGGTCTATAATTATTGTTGCATGAATTATTATACAGCTGAAGTCAAAATTATTTGCCCTCCTGTAATATTGTTTTCATTTTCAAACATTTCTCAAATGTTGTTTAACAGATTCAGGAATTTTTCACAGTATTTCCTATAGTATTTTTTCTTCTGGAGAAAGTCTTATTTGTTTTATTTTGGCAAGAATAAAAGCAGTTTTTACAATTATTTAAAGGTCAATATTATTAGACCCCTAAAAAAGTATTTGTTTTTCGATTGCCTAAAGAACAAACCACTGTTATACAATGACTTGCCTAATTACCCTAACTCACCTAAATAACCTACTTAAGCTTTTAAATGTCACTTCAAGTTGAATACTAGTGTCTTGAAAAAAGTCTAGTCAAATATTGTGTGCTGTCATCATGGCAAAGATAAAATAAATCAGTTATTAGAAATGAGTTATTAAAACTATTATGTTTTAAAATGTGTTGAAAAAAATCTCTTTGTTAAACAGAAATTGGGGGGAAAATATACTGGCGGGGGGCTAATAATTCCGACTTCAACTGTATATAAATGTAACATATTTATTTTAAAATAATGTAATAACCATTGTCATTTATATTTAAGTAATATAAGCACTTTACTAAAACATTATGCTGGTGCAGGTCAGACAAGCCCACTGCATTCCTGTGAGCTGACAACACTGTTCAGAGTTTAAGGTCACTGTGAGTCTGTTAAGGGGAGCGTTTCATACTCACTGACACGCACATACTTACAGGACGCCTCGTTGTAGTACACATTAATTCTGTCGAGCTGCAGACTTGAGTCACCCACATAGCTGCCGGCTGGATCAATGCCGTGCTCGTCGCTGATGACTTCCCAGAACTAGATGTGTGGCAGAGTGTTTTGTGTTACTTTAAATGCCAGGTTAGTCAGATAGTATCAAAAAACCAGTGTTGAGATTCTTTGCATACTCCAACACTGAAGCGTACATCAACTATGACAAGCCCTTTTAACATTTAATCAATAAATCATACCTTTCTTTCTTTCTTTTTTAGCTATTTGTTCCAGTAGATCCTGTCTGTCAGTATATCGAAAAACATCCTATTATTTTCTGGCAGGACATTCACCTGTTTTCTACATTTTAAACATGTACTACTACTTTTAATTAAACACTAATTCTTATTTCAATAGAAATTGCTAAAAATTGTCAAATATCGACTGTTCAGTTCCGACTATAAATTTTCCAGCCGTGTTTACATACTGTTTATGTACTGAAAACTATTCAATAGACACAAGTACTGTATTTTTCAGCACTATTATTGTAATACTAGAATGGCCATTGAACATTTTATTTAAAAGTCTTACAAGTAAAATAATAAGGAAAACAACTTACTAGAAATATTTGGATTAAACATTTGTGTATATTTAATATGTACAAGTATCTAATATGTATTGGCAAAATAACAGTGTACAGTGGTCCCTTGTTAATCGCAGGAGTTGCGTTATAAAAATAACCGCAATAGGTGAAATTTGCAAAGGAGTCAGTTTTATTTTTTACAATTATTATAGATGTTTTAAGGCTCTAAAAGCCCTCACTACACACTTTATACATTTTTCTCAGACAGGCGCCAATATTTTCACTCTTTCCTCTCTTGTTTAAACACTCTCAAAGAAAAATAAGTCCAGTATTGTAGAATGAAAAGATCAAAACCTGTTGTCAGGTGCAGACGTTCATCGCTGTCAGCACAAGTATCATAAAGCCTTTTAGCTTTTAGTGTGGATAATGCTGGCATCCAGCGTAATGATCTTTTCCCTTCAGTCACTGATCCACAAAGCTAAAGAAGACTTCATCTTTAAGGGGGTCCCACACTGGATGCATGGTGGATGCATGGTGCGGCGCATCCGGTGTGCGACCCCCCCCTTTACGATGGTCTTAATGCGGACAGTTACGCCCCATTCACACGGGGCGTCAGCTCCAACGCTTCCCATTCACTTTGAATGGGTGACATCAGGCGTTACCGAACTGCATTGTGGATCCATCGGTGCTGCTTCAGAGGTGCTCAACTTTTCAAGCGCAGACAGAAGCGTCAGCCAATCAGATCGCTGTATGCAAATACACCAGCTCAGACAGTGGCCTATTGCTGACTAATTTCATTGGCTGACACTGCTATGACGATCGCGTCAGCCCCAACTTCAGACACGCCCTCAGTCAAGCGTTGACGCTGAAGCCCCGTATGACAAGGGGATTACAACCCTTTTTGCATCCCTGTTGGAACTCAACACTGCTAGCGATCAAAGATTTATGTTAATTTGGCAGGATGTATATTTTATCAAGTTGTATATACAAGCTGAACACATTCTGTACTTTACATGAGACACTGAGGAGATTAATTGACAATGGTCTACAGCCAATCAGGATGCAGAACACAAACAAAACATGGCAAACTGCACAAAAAAATCTGCGAAACTGCGAGACCGCAAAAGGTGAACGACGTTATAGCGAGAGAGCTCTGTACACAAGAATGATCTTAAATATAATTAAACGGTTAAAAAAAGTTCAGTAATTTATACCTAACAGTTAAGTACATAATAAAATGTATTGCTATATAAAAGTACTTCTACTAACAAAGTAATAAGTGGTATAAAACATACATCACAATTCGAAATGCAGACAGTAAAGTCAAAACTAGTAGTCAAAACTGAATCAGAAGTCAGAAATGCAAAAAATCGTAAATGATTTATTAGTAACAACAGAATAATTACTCCGCTCTAATGACATTGAATGAGTTGGTACTATGTAATAGGTATAAGTGTCTATGCATAATTACTAGAATTAAAATTTTATTTCCAGAGGTAAAGAGAAATGCTAAAAATAAAAGCTTAGTAATTAACCAGCATATGTAATAAATGTGATAAGTGCATTAAATTTACACGTAAAAAAGGACTGTAAGGTAAAGTGCTACCCTTATACACTAGAATAATATACTAGTAGTTAAAACTGAGCATGTAATGAATGTTAGCGCGTTTAAATATTGAATGTTAAAACGGCTTGCCATACATCTCGCCACACCTATATACAACTGATGCGCCCTTACAATGTAGCGGGTTCGTATTATTTAAGCATCGATTATATTTAAGTTCACTAAACTACACGTGGACTGTATGGAAAATCATTTTTTGCTATTCTCTTAATTTGTTTTAACAGTGAATCTAGCGAGGGGAAATATTTCGGACTCAATCGCCTTAATCGAACTTGTCATTGCTGGATTTACTGAAAGTAATTTGTTTAAGAATCTAACCATAGGCTAAAATGAGTTTTACGTTTAATATTAATAACCGTTTTGCTGATAATCATTCACTTCAGGTAGGATAGGCCATACTCAAAAAGTTTGGCAAAGTTTAATTACCCAAACTGTATAAGCCTAAATAGATTTTGTATGCAAATAGCTTAAAATCGACGCGTAATGTGAAGGGAAGGCAAACATGCAAAGATTGAAAATAAGCTAACCTTTGTTCCAATCTGGTTCCCGCACTGTCCGGCTTGAATATGTACGATCTCCCTCATTTTGCAGTGTGTGTGTGTGTGTGTGTGTGTTTGAAGAATGATGAAGATGCTCCTCTGGATGAGCTGTGACTGACTGTGAGTTCAGTTCAACACGCGAGCTTCAGCTTTCAGACTCGCCGACTATTGGACGGGAATTTGATTGACAGATCAGCTGCGCAATCACGTGTTGTCATTTTTCATATTCGCAGATTAACACTTTCTGCTTTGGAAGTGCGATGTGTGTGTATGATTGCCGATCTCATATCGAGCAGCTGAGCAATAATGATAATAATAAGACGTGTTTCCTGAGCAGAGATTCAGCATATTACTGTAGAATTATTTCTAAAGGATTATAATGTCCAACTTTGAATAACATGAATTAATATATCAGCCTGTTTTACTGTATGATATAAAATAAAATAAAATTAGCCTTAGTGAGCATTAGAAACTACTTCAAAAATATTTAAAGATTGTTATAAATTTTATACAATTTTAAAATTGGTTATGTACATACAATTACCGGCCACTTTATTAGGTACACCTTACTAGTACCGGGTTGGACCCCTTTTTGCCTTCAGAACTGCCTTAATCCTTCAGTTTCAAAATATGAAATATGGAAATATTCCTCAGAGATTTGACATGAAAGCATCACGCAGTTGCTGCAAATGTGTCGGCTGCACATCTATGATGCCAATCTCCCGTTTCACCACATTCCAAAGCTGCTCTATTGGATTGAGTCTGGTGACTGTGAAGGCCATTTGAGTACAGTGAAGTCATTGTCATGTTCAAGTAACCAGTCTGAGATGATTCACGCTTTACGACATAGGGCGTAATCCTGCTGGAAGTAGCCATCAGAAGATGGAGACACTGGTTAACAGAAGGTCAGCAATAATACTCAGATAGGCTGTGGCAATGACGCGATGCTCAATTGGTACTAATGGGCGCAAAGTGTGCCATAAAAATATACCCTACCACCAGCCTGAACCGTTGATACTAGGCAGGATGGATCCATGCTTTAATGTTGTTGACGCCAAATTCTGACCCGACCGTCCTAATGTGTCAGCAGAAATGGAGACTCATCAGAGCAGGCAACGTTTCTCCAATCTTATATTGTCCAGTTTTGGTAAGCCTGTGTGAATTGTAGCCTCAGTTTCAATTCAATTCAATTCAGCTTTATTTGTACAGCGCTTTTACAGTGTAGATTGTGTCAAAGCAGCTTCACATAAATGGTCATAGTAACTGGAACAGTGTAGTTCAGTTTTTTAGTGTTTAAGTTCAGTTCAGTTTTGCTCAGTTCAGTGTGATATAATCATTACTGAGAGTTCAAACACTGAAGAGCAAATTTATCGATGCGAAGCTCTACCAATCCTGAACCATGCGAGCCAGTGGCGACAGCGGAGAGGGAAAAAAAACTTCACCTGATGGGAGTGAAGAAAAAAAACCTTGAGAGAACCAGACTCGGTTGTGCACGACCATTTTAATTTCTCCGCTGGCCAAAAGTCTTGTTCAGAGCTTCAGTCGCCGTGGTGGAGGCTGAAAGATGGCCTCAGCGAAGACTCGTCAGCTTTTCTGTTCTTAGCTGACAGGAGCGGCACCCGGTGTGGTCTTCTGCTGCTGTAGCCCATCCGCCTCAAGGTTGGACGTGATGTGTGTTCAGAGATGCTCTTCTGCAGAGCTCAGTTGTAACGAGTGCTTATTTGAGTTACTGTTGCCTTTCTATCAGCTGGTACCAGTCTGGCCATTTTCCTCTGACCTCTGGCATCAACAAGGCGTTTGCGCCCACAGAACTGCCGCTCACTGGACATTTTCTCTTTTTCTGACCATTCTCTGTAAACCCTAGAGATGGTTGTGCGTGAAAATCTTTATTTTCTTAATGACATGCACAATGAATTGTTCACCATAAAACTAGCGATGTAAGTTACCAAATATGGTCAGTTTTGATTACATTTATACTTTAAACCCCTAGAGATGGTTGTGCATGAAATTACAGCAATTTCTGAAATACTCAGACCAGCCCGTCTGGCACCAACAACCATGCAATGTTCAGTCACTTAAATCTTCCCCGTTCTGAGTTCAGTTTGAACTGCAGCAGATCGTCTTGACCATGTCTACATGCCTAAATGCATTGAGTTATTGCCATGTGATTGGCTGATTAGAAATTTGTTAAAGAGCGGATGGACAGGTGTACCTAATAAAGTGGCCGTTGAGTGTATCTCCCATAGTCCAGAGTAACCGGGTTTGATCTTTCGAAAGACAGTCTACTCTAGGCATTTATATTTCTGATATCATTTTAATACATTTTCTGTAATGTTTGCTTTTTTAAGATCTTTGATGATCCAGACAAAATTATATTACTGTAAGAACACTGTGAGAAATTCACTGTGATCAACACATATTGTCTTTATGAAGGGCCACGATTGCTTGGTTTCACTGTAATGTACAGTACAAGTAAAACTAGCATAATCTCACAGCACTTTGTAACTTTTTGATTTAGTGGTTATTAATGCGTACTGTATGGTTTTGTACAATCTTATTCATACATTTTAGTATGTTTGCTCGTCCCCCAATCATGGTTGGGTTTGGAGACACTCCTCCTTTTAAAAGTCTTATGTTTTTGTAAATTAAATTGTATGAATTTACTTTAATTAACCACTTTTTTGCCCATACATAAAGTAGTTATGCTTCCTTGTGAGATGGTAAACCAGATCAAATATTTAAAACATGCAGCAACAGAGCAAGTTTACCCGGAGATGTTGCTGAACACTTGCTAAATATTGAGTTTTCTTCAGTATTTTATTTTTATCCACAGACACAACATTAAATGTTACCAGAAATAGGCAGTTATACCATATATATATATATATATACAGTCAAGGACGCAATATATATTGATGTCTAAACATGTTAGCAAACACTAAACAGAGTGCAGAAGTTGTGTTTTTCAGTATCTGTAATCTGTCATCAGCTGATGTGACGTTTAGCTTGAGCATTCCTCATCTCCGATATACCGCAGCACATATGTGGAGGCACACAGCAGAACCTGACCTGTCAGTTTGGCCATGTACATGAAACATCGCAGTAAAGACCTGAGGAAGGACAAAAGAAAGAGATATCAGGTCACATTTCTGAATAAAGAAAATAATGGTGCATTCAGACAGGAGTTTTAGTACTAAAAACATATAGTAACAACTGTGCAATGTGACAATTTATCATATACTGGAGACCAGTGGTTCCCAAAGTGGGGGTCGGTTCCCACTGGGGGGGTCGTGGGACAATGACGAGGGGTCGCTTGGTGATTTACAAAACTCAATTTAATTATACTATTAGAATTACTATATTTTATTCATAACCCACAGAAGATAGTTAATAGTTACGGTGAAGAAACAACAACATATAAATATCCATCAGCCTTAAAATTTTTTCCTTTGCATTATTTTCTTTTGGATGAAACACCTGTGTTTAGATTAACCACACAGCAATAGCTTTAGCTGCAACAGGGGCCAGGTTAAATGTTTGACAACCATTATGGCACTCTAATGCTTTATAAATAAGACATTTGAGATTAATATTAAATGAAATTATTAATTGACTTTAAAAAATTGAATTTTTATTAGATCGTAGCATTTTTGTGTTGTCAATATGCTCATTTTTATATATGGCTATAGTTGTGTGTGCAACATTTGCATAATTATAACAAACTTTGAGAAAGAATAGGGGTTGACATTGTTATTTTGAGGGTCGCAGGCTAAAAGGTTTGGGAACCCCTGCTGTAGATTGTGGTTTCATGTATGCTCTATTGTGAATAACAGCATGGTGAGAAGGTTGCACGCTTGGAATTATCTTTATATCTTACATTATTTTTAGCAATATTTTTTGTAAACATTAGTTTTTGGTGATGCGGTGGATCAGTGGTTACCCATGTCGCTTCACAGCAAGAAGGTCTTTGGTTTGATATAGACTATTTATATAGTTTTTTATAGACTATTAATTGGTTGAATTTGCATAAAAAGTATTATATCGACATCAATATCAGCAGCATATGAGATGATTTACATTATTATATAAGCTTTTTGTAACATCAGCCAGCCCTAATAACAACTTTGTCATACAATCTTTTAAATTGTTAGGCTTTTTCTATTTCGCACTATAACGGATGTTAAAGTGACTTTCACAACCTGAAACACTTGAATGCATTTAACAAATTCACACCTGCATGATATATACAGCTGATAAAAGCTTTTCTCAGATGTTTTTCTTTCATTTTGTATTTTTAGATCAGTATAGTACAAAATAATGTATGTGATTAACATGTTAAGTAAAAAGTCATCTAAAAGTAATCCAAAAATGTAGTTTGAGTAAACTACCTAAAATGTGTAATCTAGATTTTATAACATTACTAGTTTTCTTTATGTAATTTTTTAGCAGTATTTCCAGCACTGGTTGTGTCATCAATTTGTGTGTAAGGATCTTTAAAAAGCCTAAATATTTTAAAGAGTCCTGATTGTGTTTTGTTGGCGCCCAACAATAGATTTACATCCACACTTATATTTTTTGTTGGAAAATATATATGGACAACCTTGTTTGATAGTTGTAAGCATATAAGCCAAAAGCAAAAGTCAGGACCAATCATCTGACCAATCAAAGCAGATTTTGCTTTCAGAAAGGCGGGGTTTAGAGAGACTGGATCATTAAAGCTGATGCTACAAAAGATATTATGACAAAATTAAAGGGTCGTATCATACACTCGTCACAATGTGGCACTAGGCACGACTCGAGTGTTTTTTGCTAGTTTTCGCCTGGCACAGGAATCTGACTGCACGTGCTGATATATTTCTCCAGGTTTGATATAAATCACATTGGAGCTTTGAAGCCTGGCAGGAAATTAACTCTTTTGTGCGTGCGTGTGTGTGTGTGTGTGCGCGCGTGCGTGTGTGTATGTGTGTGAGCGCGCGCGTGTGTGTGTATGTGTGTAACTTACATCAGAAAGTACTTGGCTCTGGTGCACTTGATGTCATATGAGAGTGTGTATATTTCATAAAGAGTGGCTTTAACGGTGAGGCAGCCCAGAAAATCCTTCGGGTTCAGCTTGT